ATCGTTAAAGCTTGAAATGGGCACGAAAACGAATTTGGGATATAATGAATGCAATAATTCGGCGACAATTACTTTTCAGATGCTGCAGAAGCGTTAGGTAGTAAACCCCCTTTACAAGATTCTTTGATATGCAGAACTATTAGACACAAAATATTGAGGTTGCTATTTGAAACTGTTTCTATTAATCCTTTCTTAACATCTTACTCTTAAATAGCCTCTTAATCAGTGATTGCCGTTGCTATTTTATCTTTTAAAATCATATAAACCTCGTGGGTTCTACCAGCAAGACGTTCCATAACGCTAGTATTCCGACCAATTCTAAATACTAGACACCCATAGATTCTCGATTTCGAAGTAATTCTAGATTTGGCGCTGCTAGAATTGTAGCTAAATCATAGAAACATGTTTTAAATATAATTTCAGTCATTTTCGGCTAACATTATGTTAGCACACAAGCACCGTGATGGGGCTGGCGTTCATGAGTCATTACCCCAATTAGCCTATTGTTTTCGAATACGAAACGCACACGTGAAACAGATAACATTTCGGACAAAACGAGTCCGCGAAAACAGTAACGTACATCTATCCTTTCCTAATTGGCTTGGCTTTGAAACGATGAACTAGCTAATGAAACTTCTTTGAAAATCTTCGCTTAATATGGGTCTAGTTTGTGGCAAATCATTATATAACAATTTCCTGTAGGTAATAAACTCGCCGACAGCCAGCCCGTGATTGATCTATTTTAGATGATGTCGTGTCATAAGTGATCACCTTTACAGAACTGACGCTATAATTTCCTCAATTCGAGAGACATTTCCTACATACGTTTTTTCTCCCACGTACATGAATAATTTACAGTTAGGATTTCATCTCAACAGTTAGCTGGATCATGACGTCCTTTACAAAACATAATTTTGTCCTTGCATGTTTTACGAAGGACACAATCTACAAGCATGCAATTTCTACAATTGTGTGCTCACCATTTTGATAGTAGATATTCGTAATTTGTGGTTGTTGTCTCTCTTCCGACATCTTGAACATATGTGATATTTTTTTGTTATGTTACAGACTTGTTTTTCTCTGGCGGCTAACCCGTTTCCAATAAAATCTTAGAAATTCTAAAATGGTGGCAAGATTCTCATCCGTGCATCTAACATACCAAAGTGAAGCTGTCTATCATTTGTATTCTACTGACTTAGCGAAGTGAGGCAACGCATCTGCAATTGCTTTTAGTAAAGGTATATACGTAGCGCAGGCAAAGAATAATTTATACAGCTTTTATATAAGTAAAATTTTAAATGTGTTTATTTTACCTAATATCTACGTAAATTCTCCACTTGACTAACTTTTGTTATCCAAATAGATTGCACATCCCCGCATTTCTTAATGAGGAATCGTAATATATTTTGGTAAGTTGCTTTTGCCATCGGTACTTTAATGACTACTAGTAAACTGTGTCGAAGTGAACGTTTTTGCAAATCGTTCATTGAAGCTCGTTCGTGAAGAGAAACTTATTAAATGAAATAAAAAGAGTAGAAATTTACGCTTGGTCGCCGCAAAATGGCTTTGTCTTAGACCGTTCAGACCTTAGCAGATTGACGCTTGTTATCATTTCCCTGAACAAAGGCGGTCACACCTTGTAGTATTTTACTCTCGTGCGCATTAAGAATGCCTTGACAACCTTAGATTAATACACTAACCTAATCATTCGAAAGCGGTACCAGCTTCTCCGATACATAAATGAGCCCCCCAGCTTATGTCTCTTGTTTTTATGGAAAAAAAAATGAGCCTGAATTTGATCTGCCTGGACACGACCGAGAAGTGAGCTATCCAAATATTTTCCTGACTTCGCTAAATACGTTATTTAATTATTCGGCTCTCACCTTATTCACGCACTAATCTCTATACCTTTTATTGCAGTTGTCTAGCGAACTTTTCGTTTCAGTGCGTTCTACAGCTTGTTCGGTAGATATTACTTTAACTTCATCAGTTAATGTACCTATACTACTGACGAATCAACTGGCTTCATTGCCAACAACACAAAATAGGAATCAGCCGGTATTGCCATTGAAATGGAGAAACTCTGTACAGGATTTTTGTTGCGTAATTCAGAATAATCGTGTGGCTTTACATAAAAATTGAGAACATGAATTGTGTGAGTTTATGTATATTAAAGAACTAAGTTGTATGGTAACGGTAGCTGAAAAACCTATGGGCCTTTGTATACCTTGCAGGAAAACTTATGGTCATAGTTCATTAAGGCCAACAACAGGATGACCTAAACAGGCATTCACCAACACAAGGTGAAAAAGCGAGTTAGTAAACAGAGAAATTGGATAGGTAACATAGAAGTTTCCAAAGTGACCTGATCCGCTAATTACCTTCGAGATATCTATACCTTTCTTTTATAAGTGTTGCAAGCTCGTGACGTTAATACCTTTACAGTTTAGAAAAGCATACGTATCTGTTCTTGCTCTATAAGACCATAAACTGAAGTGTAAAATATATATATATATATAAAACTTGAATAGCTTCGTTGAAATGTATTAGCTTCTATTCAGTTTTCACTATATTGGGATGGTATCCGACAGAACGTTGTGGGGGGCAGCAACAGTAACTACTGCATGAACTAAAGGGGTGAGTGAGTAAAACATAGCCGAAGCAAATGTAGCTGCTCTTCCGCCAAAAGCTCGTTTCGTCCGCCCAGGCTCCGCCCGGCCTCCCTAAGAACTGCAGCTGTAGCAATAGCAGTAACAGCAGCAACGGCGGCATGCTTCTATGCGTAAAGAAAAGAAGTTTCTTAATTATTTGTAACTTTTTATGCATGAACGGCTTCGCCCTACTCCCCTTCCAGCCAGCCCGGTTCCCGCCGTGAAGGTTAGCAGACCGCTGTCGCCACGGATTGCGCTACAACACAGGCAGCATTGGCGTGCGTTTACTATAGGGTTTCGAAAAGAAATGCGTCCCGGTCGTGTTTTAGGGATGGAAGGGCCGTTGTTGGAGTCTAGATAAGGGGGTCCAATGGATCCTGAGCATGGGACAACAAAGCTGGTGGCGGGACAGGAGCCATGACCGCCACTACAGCTGGTGCCTATGAGGCTTATATGAACAACTGTCGGCAGCTTTGTGGGGTTGTCGCAGCAAAGGAGCGGCTTTGGGAATCCGTGGAAAGGGGATCGTTCACATGGTACGGGGCGCTTTGTTCACATGGGGGCTTCGCTTCTTCTGTAGCTGACAACTGCCAGTGGCATACGTTTTTGCGGCCGACCCACTGCTTAGCGTCGCTCGCCCACTTCCACCACGATAGTTACCACTGAAACCACCAGGAACACTGAGTTGCCGCTGCAACTGGCTTCATCGTCATTGCCATCGCCACCGTCGCTGCTGTCATCACTGGGGCTCCGTGAGAAGCAGTCGCAGACAACGCACCGACACCAGTCTATAGCAAAACGCTGCTGCTACAACTGCGCCATGTCGACTAAGCCGGTTTTCTGGCTGGTTAGCTCGTTCACTTTTACCACGAATGAGCAAACTGCGCCTAGTCGGACCAGACAGACTCGAACCGGCTTTTCGTGTGTCTTGAGTTTAAGGAAGCCATCCTCTTCCCAACTTTTTTCAGTGAGGAAAAGAATGAAAGGAAGATAACTGGGAAGAGCACGAATAAGACTGGAAGGGACGGCTGTTGCTCGTTTTGAAGGGCTTCGAGCCCTCCACTCCTCTTTCTCGCTGAAGAAACCGGTAGCTGCAGTAGCACAGGCCACCACCGAAACCGTTGAACTATACGAAGATGATAGCGCGAGTCAGTTTATTCACGCGTTCCCGTTGCGATTGGAAAAAATGGCGGGGCTCTATCGAGAAAACGACGCTAGAGAGCACCCGAGAACCTGTGCTAGCTGTTCCCTGCAGCAAGAGACCCTACGCGCGAAACTAAAAATAACGCACAGCACTTCCACTTTGGCGTCGACAATAATCGTGTGCATGGCTACCCTCCATGAAAAAATCCACGACACTCGACGGCTCTCCTCTTTCCTGCCCCCCCCCGCCCTTCTGCGACTGCCGGCCAGAATGTGCTAAAGAAAAGCCTATAAATTTATTTGATCATTATATGGTGTTAGCGTGGACTTCAGTATCTGTTTTTCCCGATAGGTTTCGATTAGGTGTCATATGGTTGTACATAACAGTTTTCCTAGACATTGCTGATCAAACAAAATTAAGAAATTTAAGTGAAAATTTACACAAAGATCGTATCGTATTAACTACTATGATTCTGCTTATTCGTAATGCACATGTATGTTTATAAGGTAGAAAAAGTAACTCCGTATCGAATCAACTGACCTAAAAAAAAAAAAAAAAGTAGTTTGTCTGAAGGGTTCGTGCCAGCGGTTTCCATCCGTTCAGATAAATATATTCCTGCCTCCGACGTTCTCTAGTAAAATATCAGAAAGGATGAATCTTCACAACGCTAAAAGTTACAACATAAACGGAAACGACTTGGTTTCAAATTTGTCAGAGACGAACAAATGTTTCATCTTAATAATGAACGAACTTCAACAAGTCAATTAAAACGTACAGGTGCATTTAATATAGCCCAATCAGCTTCTTGATAATCCAATTCCGTTATTGAATAGGTAAGATATCCATTGTAATTTTTATCTGGCCCCGTTATACGTATAGAATTATACCCAGCGGGATGCACCCTCTATCATAGTTGCATATTTGATCGTATATAATGATTTAGATACTGTTTTCTATACATGTTAAATACATCTCTAAATAGCGATTCTAAAGACAACAAGGTTATATTTATAGGAGTCCTCTTGCTTAATCGAAATGCATCGCTTATTAAGCCGACATTGCTGTCATCAATAATTCCGGTAACTCACCGTTACATCGTTATAAACACTAGAAAACAGTAGAATGAACATTTAAGTATATGAGAATATTTTGGTCCGTATATGTTAATACAGATATTTCAAAGCATTGTTTGCGTGTGTTTTCAGATGGCCCCTATAGCACTACGCCGGCAGCTAGAATCAGTGAGTACTCATTCAAGCATTCTGTCTTTGTTCTAGGTATTATTTAGATTGTTGCTTAGATTACTATGTCATCGCTTGGATAGTTAACAAAACATTGACAAGCATGATTTGCTTGTGGTAGCCGTAAAACTTCTGTAGAAATATCGATAGGGCGGAATGGTTGATTCGTCGACGTCGTGTCTCCGGTCTCTTTCCGTATCAGAGTCGCCGGAGGCCCGATGAGGAGCAATCAGCTTGTTACGAGCTCGTTCTTCCCCGAGAGGGAAATCCCTACACGAGGCTCGCTTAAGAAAACGAACCGTCCCTGGGGGAACAGTGAGCCTCACCAATGGAACCCCCTTGGAAGAATGTTGGGACTGTTGTGGGAACGTTGTTGAGAATTGGGACGCAAATACGGGCCGCCTATACATGCGTCGACCCCAGTCCGCTACCGGAGAGACATAGACTGTTGCGGGACACAACTCTGACTCCACAGCCCCTGCAACCCGAGAAAAGTATTCTTGTCCCTTTCTCCTCTTTTATGCCAAACTCCATATCCGCTCTCTGATCCACCTTACAAACACTCGCGCATACAGAGTTTCTGCAGATGTTACTTTGTATGTACGTAGTAAACGGTACTCTTAGTCCTCACAAAACTGTAGCCAAATACGGGTAGTTCTACTTTTTTTTTTTGTAATTTGGAAAAATTCGGTTTGATCTTTGCTCAGATAACTACCATAGGTTGCAGGTTTAGCGCTATCCATTAAAACAGTGATCTTGATCAATATGATTTCCAATCTGGCTGATATTTTGGATTATTAATTATGATCCGCCACAAAAGCAGGAAAAAGATTAGTAGGGCTTTCTTTCCAACTATTATTGTTACATGGCTTGTTTCCGCTTTTCTACCTTATTATTTCAGTAACCATTATTGCTTAACCGCTTTCAAAAACCTTCGTCACAAAGAAACGTCTTCTAAGGTTTCGATTCTCATCAGACATCAAGTTAGAGAGAGGATACTTAATGTGAGTGATATAACAACTGATTTTCTAACGTTGACAATAAAACGATTCGTAACACATATGACAACGTTGAGCCTATAACAGTGGCTTCACCTCCAAAATAAAGTACCACTTTCACGTTACCTCAGTTACAAGTAAGTGATATATGGCGGTTTCCATTGCATGTAATCTATGATTTACCTGCATCATTTGTGCCATTTACAATCGATGCGTATGCTGACCTGAACCTCTTCATTTGCGTGTTGATGTATACACACATAACCGATCTCTTTTTAGTCTTACTGACATTAACATTTTTTCCTTTTTGATACGCGATGCTTATATAAAATTATTTCATATTTGAACCATTTTCTAAACAAATATGTAGGTTTTTCTTTTTGACACAACGGCAAGCAACCTATTACATTTGCTTTGTCGACTGAGGACTATTATTTCGCATTACTGCCGCCTCTATAAATAATTTGAGCCGTGTTAATTAGAATCCCGTTTTCTCCCTTACATATTGCTTACCAGTGCCTTCGCTCCCTCATAACTCATTTCTATTATAATACGCACAAAGAACCGCCTTTCTCATACGTTTACTTAATATTCAACGTCCTGTCTCTTTCCTAGAGCAAGTGCCATGCTCATCATCAACATCGCCTCCTGCTTAACTCTCGTTTGTATAAAAGGGTACAGTGGAAAAGTCGGAGCAGGGCAAATATTGACGACGTTATTGAAAAGCCATCGCCGCTTAGCCTTTACATCGTAGGGACTGTCGCGGACAGAGGTCGTATGCAGTAGCCTCTAATATTTGCCGCTCAAAAGGATCAGAAGTGTGCCCCTGTCATCGATTTACCACACTTCAGTCAGGCACTGGCGGGATCTAACAGAGAAAATGCTGCAAAGCCAGCTACATCGTGTTATACCTTGAATGCAATTATTTACTATACTGTATGCATGTGTACACACAGACCAAATAGTATTGACACTATACCAACAAAAGTCCGTAGTTATGTCGTAGGTGGCGAACAACTGTCTAACAAGTTCGTAATTAAATCTCACTATAAACTAAAGTTAACAGTTACTAGGTGAAAATCAAACTCAATACCAAGTCGTATTATATGCTATGCGGCACAAACGCTTAATTATGATAACTTTATTTAAGAAAGAGAGTGCCTATTAAAAATATTTTTGTAATTTTTATCATCTGCTTATCAAACTGGGTTTATAAATATAACTGAAATAAGTGGGTACTGTTTATTTTCAAGAACCATTATCATAAAATCTATATGTGCATTAATCGAACGGCTTTATATATTGTCTACGTTTCTATTATACGTTAGTAGAGAAGAATTAGTTAGGACTCGGCAGAACTTTCCAACTTTAATTATAATACAATTTAAGCCGCATACAGTCCGCATTAGAAACGTAGCACGGGCAACCTTTCCTCGACTCCTTAATCGAGCCTATGAAATATAAATGATCATTTGAACTTGCGAGACAGATCCCGCTATTTGGATTTCCATGTGACTAAATGCAGAGTGCACTATATTAAGTTGCCCAGAGCTAACTATACATGGTAGACGAAAATATGTACGTTAGATATATTCCCCTTTTATCGTTTTTACATTCGAACTAGCATTACGGAAACTTCTCGACAGTTATGTACTAATCAATCGCGCTGCCATACTTAAGCTCGTTATCAGTTGTTTGTTCGAGAAGATTGACGCTAGCATAGCTAGCTCACGCATCACACCCATTAAGGCTCGTAAGTATTTGAAATCAGGTGTGGAGTGAGGTCGCAGTTCCTTCACTCTTTCCAATTCAAACAAAAATTAAAATATGGCTATAAGCTATATTGCCTTGAGTAACTACACTATACGCTGAGTACACGTCTACGAGGCTCTTCCTGAATTCAAGATATCTGGCAACATGGACTCCTTGGTCAAATCTTATAATGCCCGTGAAATTCAACGCGAGTAGGAGCACTGGCTTATGCATAAATGTGTACGAATCTGCCAGCGGAGTTGCTTTCCTTTCTGTTGACCTCTTTATGGTAGGCGGCGCAGGCACACCCAATGCTCATCTAGGGCAACGCTGAATTCCGGACAGATTCTCTGCGGTAATAATTCCTCAATTTTTCCCTATAGTGTACCACATCTCTTCTAAGCTCAATTCTTGAAGAGCTTATTGCTTGCTCTTTTCCTTGTTTTCATTACAATTTCATAAGATGTGCCTTGAGGAATCATATATTGGACCTACAGGGAGCGTATTGTTCGCGCTTTGTTTTGCGTAAAAAGCTGCCGTGATCACAACAAATCATACTTTTGTTTGAGGTCCTGGGCTATAGTCATTAACCTTCCAATGTTTGTATTTATAAATAATCGAATATTGTTTCGCTGACGTAATTCTCACTTAATGTTTCATCAATTCTCAGTAGCTTGTACCAGAACTATGATCTTTGAAAAACAAGAACTTAATCATTAAGCGTTGATCTTTAGCACTAAACGACATTTTTATTTAAAACCCCGTCATTCTTTCATAATACACGGGCAACTTATGACCGTGCGCTTGAGAGCTTAAATACAAATGTTTACTAAACTTTGTCTAGTTTGAAACTAGACAAAGTTTAGTAAAAAACTAGTTTGAGAATGATGTAAGTGTTTGGAATAAATTACTTTGGCCAATATAATGCGTCTCACTAATTTGTAACAAACAATGGTTTGTTGTACATACAGACATGGTTTGTTACGCAACAAAAACATGGCAGAAACGTTAATCTAATTGAAACTATCCTTACCTTTATCATAATGGAGAGGTTTACGAGATTGTCTCCTGTTATTGTGATTGATCTTCACAGCGATAAACTAAGTCATGATTCCCGGTAACAATGAAAGACTCACTGTCAATCTTATTAGGCCTTCAATCTTTCTTACCTTCAGGATTCTTTTCGATAGCAAGAACGCTGTTGTCGGCTTCGTTACTACCCTTTGAGGCGTTTCCTTCATGTGAAATAATGCTGACACTGCGTGGCAAGAAAAAGAGCGAGAAGAGTTAGTGACGCGATAGAGCTGGTACGAGTCGGCTGGGTCAGGAGTTCCGCTGGGTTATGCTCGCTTGGGGCAACGACGAAGATGGTATATTCATCGCGATAGTGTCATCGCGTCTTCCAACAACCCCCTCTCCTATGCTGTATACAGACATGCATGTGATAGACGACAACGCTTACTCATAGACAGGTTCTGACATAGTTATGAGTGCTTCGTATACCACCTTGTCCCTCGACCTTGTTCTCCATTCTCCTCCAGCAGCTGCTGCTACTAGTTTGGCCTTGCCTGCTTGTCTTTCCGGCCCTCCCGATCGTTGACGTTGTTGGTCCGCTTGACAAATTAACGGCCTTATCCTACAACGTTCCCTACCCTTGTCTCCTCGACCCCAAATTTCTACCCAAATTTTGGACATAGCGCTAGATCATGAACCACTATGATCTGCCATATTGATTCTCGCTCTTCCTCCTTAAATTTCTTCTTCTGTGTATAGCAAGCTTGCTCCTTACCTGCCTTAATATCACTGTTTTCATTAACAAAAGAAACGAGATCGTATTCCCTTCCTGTCGTCGAATTTTCTTTGCGACATACTTTCGATGTGGGTTTACCATCGGCTTAAGCGTAGCTTCTTAATGTGTACACAGACAAGCAAGGGAGTCTACGTGGCGTTTCCATTACTCGTCTTCACTCAAGTGATTAATCAGACAAAGAGTGTTACCCAAGCAATTAACTGCGAGTAGAACGCGTGAAGGAAGAGAGATCTTACTGAGGAATCGCAGTTGTTCGTTAAAATATTTTCAAAGATTCTGTTCTGTCAATAGTACAATCGTAAGCTTTATTTGTTTGTTCGGACATAGTTTCTTGTATATATTCTTTCTAGTAGTAACTTGGGTAAGTACATCTTTTTGTTATTTGAAGTCGTCACTTTCAAAAGTCAGTGTCTCTGGGGATAATGGATTAAAATAATTTC